TATAATTACTGTGGAGTTACTTTCTTCTGTGATTTTATCTTGGAATCTCTTAACCCATAGTATTTCTTCATTGTATTGGGAGTTTTCTTCTGTTTATTCATGGCTTTCACTTCTGTTCCTGGATGGGGACTATGACAGAACTAGCTCTGCCACCTCCCCCCCATTCTTGGATAGGGTGACCAGGCCCATGTCCTGTTGTTAGGACAATTCAGATGCCACATCTAAGCCACAACTCTTCCTGACGTAGCTGGGTCCTGTTTTCCTTTGCTCATTGAAGCCCCAAAGTGAGAGACTGCTTGGGGCCAAAGCCTGTCTGTCAGCAGTCTTAGCCTGGGATCCAGAACCAGACCTGGAGTCCAAGATTCCACCCTGCATTGTTCTTGGCATTTGCTTTGTCTCCTGACACGTCCCCAGCACTGGTTCCAGGAACCCTCTCTTGGTGAATTCCGTGTGTTGGTTTCACTACCCCTCATCTGCCTCCATCCCCCCAATCTACTAGAAGATCCTTTGGTGTCCTTTGCCTCTTTTCCTAGGGAGATGCTGGTGTTGGCTTCAGGTTCCGCGACCAGACAGCACTGATGGGTTCCCTGGCTATTAGGACACTCATGGTTTCTGCTTCTCCTCCTGGCCTGGCCCTACTACTGGCTCCAGGCCCTGTCTCCTGGGGGTGCTGAAGCCTGGGCTAGCTTTGGTCCTGTCTCAGGCTCCTTACACAGTCACCTACTGGGAGGTCTGTGGCATCTGTCTCATCTCTTGAAGAGGACATTTCTGAGGCAACATCTTGTTAGCCCAGTTGGAATCACTGTCTGTACTAAAGGGTAATAAAATGGCATTTATTTTAAAATATTATATGATTTTTGGATTTTTGTGGTTAAGCTGATAATCACTCTAAATTAGTAAACTCTTGAGTTTGGTTTAGACAAAAAGAAAACCTTTTCCTTCTTATTATTTCCATTTAGATTATTTCTAGAATGTTTTTTAGTGCCCACAAAACCCACCTCAAACTACTCTTTCCCCAAAGACAAATGAAAACAAATCTAATACCAGGAGGCCAGTCACATCAGGAACTCTGGTGGGGCTTTGAGTATTTTACTTAGATACCTCAGGCCCATCTTCATTACATTCCTAGAGCTGGCAAGAATATTGAGCTAGTATGGCAGGACAATAAAGATAAATAAATAAATTGTTGAACAATTCAAGACCTTGGAGGAAGCATAGGAATGGCCAGGGGCACTTTGCCAAAGCTAATATTGAGATCTTTGTGAGGCTGAGACAATTCAGGTCAAGTCAACAAGCATTTATTATGCGCCTAGTATGGGTAAGGCACTATATTAGGTCCTGGGAAAAAGAGCTGGGCCCCATTGCAGCACATATACTAGAAGCATCCATTTGCATGCAAATAAACTAATCTAGAGTCATTTTTATTGTAATTATTAAAGTAGGGCCCTTAAGGAACTTTCCTAGGCAACAGGATGTTAGTCTAGTTAGAATGACTACATATTCTTTAAAGTAATAAAACTCCACTTTTTTTTGAGATACAGAGAATTTAAATATTGGATCACCTACAGGAAACCTATAGCACAAGAGATCCTATTCTATCACATTCTCAGCTCTTGGGAAGCAACATGGTGTTGTGGAATGAGAACTCAACAGCGAGTCAAAAGACTGGTTCAGTTTCTGAGCCTTCCACTTACAAACTGTGTGGTCTCGTAGAAATCACTTAATCTCCCTGTGCCTGCTTCCTCATCTGCATGCTGGCGATAATTATAATTTCACTACCGACTTCATAGGGATGTTGTGAGAATGACAATAGTGGCAAAAATAATAACTATCATTTAATATAATGCTTTAAGATTTATAAGGTGTTTTACATACTTTATCCCTAAAGGTGATTACAAAGCGTCCCAAAAGAAGCTTATATATACACACATACATACTCATATAAATATAGCTATAGATAGTTGTAGATATTGGTAGATGATAGACATGTATACATGTATATATGTATGTATATGTATATATGTAAACATATACGTATATATGAATTGTTTTGTAAAAATAAAGTACTTTATAAATATCCAATATTACTATTTCCTTTTTCTCCTTCCATCATCCTCTTCTCTTATTCTTCCTCCTCCTCCTCCACTTCTTCATCATCATCTTCTCTTCATCATAATCATCACTTCCATCTTCTCTTCATCATCATCACCACCATCATCTTCTCTTCCTCCTCCTCTTCTTCTTCATCATCATCTTCTTCTCTTCCTCCTCTTCATCATCTTCCCTATCATCATTTTCATCTTTTCATCATCATCATCATCATCATCCTCTTCTCTTCCTCCTCCTCCTCTTCTTCATCATCATCTTCTTCTCTTCCTCCTCTTCATCATCTTCCCTATCATCATTTTCATCTTTTCATCATCATCATCATCATCATCATCATCATCCTCTTCTCTTCCTCCTCTTCCTCTTCTTCATCATCATCTTCTTCTCTTCCTCCTCTTCATCATCTTCCTATCATCATTTTCATCTTTTCATCATCATCATCATCATCACCCTCTTCTCTTCCTCCTCCTCCTCTTCTTTCTCCCCTTTGTCCCTTAATTGACTACAAGTTCCCTGGAGCTTGTTGCACCCCTAGACCTTGATTAGGTTTTCCAGGGGATAGTCAAGACCCAAGCGGTCATACAGCGTCCCAGAAATCATTAGCTTTTTTCCTGTGCAAGCAGGAGAGAAAAGATTTCTTCCTGTATGCAGGTAGTGACTCAGGAAGGATTGAGGGCCAGTATACGGCAAGGGCCCAGGCATCTAGTTTTCAATACAGGAAACAGAGATTAGGCAACAGTTATGTTCAGAGCACTCTTCCAGGTGGGAAGATAAGGGAGATGAGAAGCTTAGCTAAGACAGGCTCCATGGAGTTTACACTCCAGCATGAAGATATGGACAATAAGCACGAGGATACAAGCTGATAAATCAAGACACCAAGGATCTATAATTGCCTCAGCAAAGCATTGACTTAGGTTGTAATTCATGTCTAAGAGCAGAGGAGTCTAGGGAGTCGCACAAGACTCAGGTAAGTTAAATGACTTGTCCAGGGTCACACAGCTAATAAAAAAGTCAAGAATTAATTGTAGGTCTTGTTAACTATAAAAGTAACATTCTATCCAGTATGATAATAATAACAAGAGTGATAACAATGATAGTTAGCATTCATGTAGGGCATACTATGTGCCAGATACTGTGCTAAGCTCTTTACAAATGTTATTTGATCCTCAAAATAACCCTGGGAGGTAGGTATTATTATTTCCCCTATTTTACAGTTCACTGTAAACTGTGGCAAACAGAGGTCAAGAGACTTGCCCAGGGTCTCACAGCTAGTATGTGTTTGAGGTTGGATTTGAACTCAGGTCTTTCAGACTCTAGTCCCATCATGCTATCCATCATACATCTAGCTTCCTTTAGCTACTGGTGTGCTAATATAAACACGTATACATATAACACTTCAGGAATTCAAAGATCCCCAATTTTTTGTGTTAGACTTTTTTTGGGTCAAAGCTATTTATACAGATTACATGCCGCTAAACTTAGCAGATAGTTTTTTATGCGTCATTGTGGCTGAAAAATTAAATATCCTGCAACTAGACTTGTCCATGAGCAGCTCTGAACCTCGCTAAGTTAGTTTTCAGACAATAAACACATGGTCCATCTCATATTTGAAATCTTTCTGATTTCTACCCAGCTAAAATAGCTTTCAAGAAACCAGGGTCATTTCCACACTATAATGAACTATAGTTAGCTAGGGCAGGGAGACTGAGGTTTTGTCCCAGGTGCTAAAATTTAAATGTTGCCAACAATTTTTCAGCAGGAAAAAAACTGTGTTTAATGCTTAGTAAGAATAAGCAGTTCAAATAATTGCATGAAGATTCCTCCCCTCACTCCTGGCAGGTGCACCTTAGGTGAGCTCCTTTCTGACTCAGCTTGGCCTTGTTCTCCCCCTAGTAATGGTCTCCCCATCAGCAGCTTCCTAGTATTCCGTGTGGTCTTGTGTTCTGAGGTCTCTCCCCAAGTTCTTTCTTCTACTTTCATCTGACTTTGTCCTTTAAAGTTGGTTTGATTTTGGAGTTTCTTCCATGCTACTTGCAAGTGGAGCACATTTTGGGGTTCATGCCCTGGTGCCAGATTTGCAAGTTATAGTTCTGTGAAGAGCACCAGGATAGGACTATAATGCAGGAGACAAGCATAATACAAAAGAGATTACATACATGCGTAAGACAGATGTGAACAAAGTGCTACAGAATATGGGAGATCATTTCTAACATTAGTAACAGGGAGGGCTTCAGAAACATTTCAGTTAGGTCTAGAAAGATGGATCAGGTTGTATTCCAGAGGTAGGGACTGGACTTTCTAGAGAATCATTGGTTATGGCTACAACTTAAGAACACTATGAAAACAATTAGAGTAGGACAGGTATAGTTCTAAAAGCTTTTTATAAGCACCTGACTATCCCTAGCAGTGAGGTGGCGTGCTGGATAGAGCTCCTGGCTGGGAGTCAGGTGGACCTGAGTTCAAATCCCGACTCAGACACTTACTAGCTGTGTGACCTTGAGCAAGTCGCTTAACTTAATTTGCCTCAGTTTTCTCATCTGTAAAATGATTTGGAGAAGGAAATGGCAAAGTAGTCCAGTATCTTGGCCAAGAAAACCCCAAATGGAGTCATGAAGAGTTAGATTTGACTGGACAACAATGAAAACCTATCTCTGATTCCTTCCCTAGTAGTTTAATATCAATGAACCAGAGCTATAACTTGCAATTTTGGCTTCTACAGCAAGCTTCATGAAACACACTTGGGGCAAGCATCAGGAAAAGTACTCTAAAATAAATTTTTAAAGGTGAATTCACTTTTGGAGGAGAGACCCTGAAACACAAGGCTCCGTGGTGAAAGACATTGCCGGATCCCAACCCCTATGGACTGAAACATTAGAACATTGCGAGACTAATGCTACAGTGGATGCCGCAGAGGAAGGAGCAACAAGGCAAGAGAGGCCTACAGAGGAGTGCATGGGAGGTACGGCCACCAGGTAAAAGAAGCACACCTGCTGGCAGCTTTTTATTCTAACTAAAGATTTTTTGTTCATTTTAATTGTTTCCTGGATGCTGACTGACTAAATATTTACTGGCAGCACCCCCTAAATGTCCGTGCTTTGCAGCACAGCCCCACGGCCCCACCTTTGTTACAACTCTGCAGTGGACACTCTGAGCACGCTTATTCCACAGGTTACAAGTCTAACCCACATCGCTCCTTATCCTTAGGTCACTCTCCTAGTTTCCATCTCAGCACAAACACCCGAGCATGGTAGGCGGAACCCCTGCTTCATTGTACCCAATTCCATTAGTCATTGTCTGGAGGAAAGAGATGGTGGTGATGACCAGTTAGTCCCTAAATTGATTTCCTGGCTTGGCCGCAAGGGAAGTGGGGCTGCCTTCCAGACTCCGACGGCCTCCTAACGTGGGGCCAGGCAAGGTTCTCACTGCCAGGCCACAGGGTGGGGTATTATATGGGACACAGCTTGTTTTACCTTATAAAATGGGAGTTCTGCATTTCTGGGTGGAAGGAAAGTACAAGACGGGGGAAGGGAAAAGCTGAGGTCCCTGAGGGGTTTTTAATCTTTTCTCCTCTGGGTGTCCTTGGGTGAGCTGCTTACCTTCCATGAGCCTCGATCATCCAGTGGGGGATGACGCTGCATCCCCTCCATTATGGGGCCAGTGAGAATTAATTTTGTTACAGAATACTTGAGCTGAAAGAGATCTTAGAGATGATCTAGTTTAGCCCCTCACTTCGCAAATGAGGAACATGAGGTTTAGAGAAAGGAAGAGATCAATCTGTCACATAATAAGTTAGCGGTCACACTGGGCCTTGGACCCGGATTGCCTGACTCCTAGGCCAGTTCTCTTGACACTTTACCATGATGCCTCTTACAAAGGGCAACACAGGCCCTATGTAAACAAAATTTTTATGGAGGGCTTTAGTTTGGTGTTTCCAGCTCACTTTGCCCAATGGAATTTTAGTACAATATTTCATAGATGTGGAATAATAATTGGCATTTGTAAGGGAGCTTAAAATTTGTTTGCTGAATACTTTACATATATTGTGTCATTTAAGCTTCACAATTACCCTATGAAGTAGGAATTACAGGTATTATTGTCCATATTTTACAGAAGAGGGAAATGAGGTTAACTTTCCCATGTCCACATAGCTTATGTTATAAGTAGAATTTTAACTCAGATCTTCCTGTCTCCTGATCCAGCACTCTTGTCCATAAGACACACCAAGTCTCCAGACTTATGGACTGTAAGAGGCAGAAGAGAACTTAGAGGTCACCTAATCTTTGTTTAAGAGATGAGCAATATGGGAAAAGTGGAATGATTTTTCCCAAGGTCATGTAGCTATTTGTTAGAAGGCTGGGATTGCAATCCAAGTCTTTAGATTTTCAGTCCACTGTTTTTTCTACTACATGACTGTCTTCTCATAGCTAGCAGCAGATAACCAGAGTAGGACCTACTGAATTGAAGTTTGGAGAAAATAAATGAACACTGAATACATCTATTCTTGGTGTACTGGGTTTATCAAGCCAATTGCAGTGGGTTATTATAAAGGACAGTAATCTCAGTAATAATCAATACTTACTTAGCACTTTAAAGTTTGGGAAGCACTTTGCATGCAGAATCTCATTTGATCCTGTGAAGGTGTTATTACCTCCAAGTTCAGACATGTTAAGTGACTTGCCCACAGTCACACATCAAATAAACATCAGAGACAAGATTTGAACATAAGTCTTCCCAAGTTCCGATCTAGCACTCTCCCCACAAAGTCATGGGTAGTGAGATGAGTTCATTTAAGTATCTTGCAATGGATCATTTCTCATCAGGGTAATTCTAACATAATTTTCTTCCTTTTTAGTCTTGAAAGGTAGAGAGTTCTGACTTTGGTATTGCCAAGTTTTGAATGCACCAATTTCAGGACCCGGTGGAATGGGCTTTCAAAATCACATACTCATAGACTAGGCCATTTCCCTCTTCTAGGTGTGAGAAATTTCCAAGAGGTGGGGTGGGAAGAAATGAGTCCTGTTCCTCTGAGATAGCCCCATTTGGTTCTTCCCCAAATGGGCAATGGGAGCCTCCTGCCCCTCTCACATGGACAGGTACAAATCACTGGCTTTCTGACAGAACCTTTGCCCAGAAGACTGGATGTACATGGGATCATAGATCTAGGGCTGAAATGAACCTCTGATAGTCCAACCCCATCATTTTCAGATGAGTTACTAGAGATTAAGTGACTTGCCCAAGGTTACACAGAGAGAAAGAGTCAGAAATGGGATTTGAATGTAGGTCCTCCAATGATAAAGCTTTCCCCACTGTACAAGATTGGCTCCCATGGGACTAGGGCGGGCAGCTCCTTATACATCAGTTTTGGGGAATGTAGGCCATATATAGCAGGGTTAAACTAGGTTGAACCAGCAAGCACTCCTGGAATGTGGTCACAAAGTTAGGAAGTGCTACTCTCTGAATCAAAATAGAATGTACATGTTAGAGGTGAGACTGGTTTGATGGAAGGTACTCAGAATGGATCATTGAACAATTGACAAACAGGAGGTTGACCTGGCTTTAATACAGCAGGGATATGCAGCAAGGATAAAGTGGCACTTAGCGCTGTTAAGTGTTGTACTACTTCCCTTCCCCTCCATGTTGAAATCTATGTGTTCACCAGGGCAAAGTGTCACGACCCAAGTGATCTTCAGGCTTTTACCAAGTCTGAAGGCCACCTATCCTATGTGGGTGGGACCTTTTATGCCTCCAGGTGAACAGATCAACACAACCAGAGGCTTCTAGTAATGTGCACAAAGAACCTAGCTTTAGCCCTGACCCACCCTTGAGACAAGCTTTGTGCCTTTTAGGGAAAATCTAACTTAACTCATGTTGGTGAGGAGAAGGGGAACTCTGGTAGATACTGGTCCTATCACAAGATAAAATTGACCATTTGAAGAAGTTACTCTCCCGGAGAGATCATTTGTGAATAGATTGTTGAGCATGGATTTTCTCTCTAATACCATCAAGGACACCAAGATGTTTATTTTTCAGCAGGATGCCTCCCTCAAACCCATCCCAGAGACAGTGATCTAAAATGTAACAAAAATGAAAGATGCTATTTTGATTAATTACAGTATGCCTAATGTGAGGTACTGCTTTCATAAAAGGAAGGTTGTGGTGTTTGAGTGAAGCCTAGAAGAAGAAAAAATAAAAATTGAATTTGTGTTTCAGATTTATCCAGCACTGGCCAGGGCAAAGACTACCCTGATTCTGATGATTCCTCCTAGTTATCTAGACCAAATTTGCTCTAGAAGGGATGAGGGTGCTTCATCAGGCTGCCCCAGATGGATGGAAATGCCCTTTAAGGAGTCCAATTTCCTTTGCTTTAATTCAGGATCCATACAGCAAACTTCTAATTGCTTAATTTGGTCTTCTGAGTGGATCTACCCAGCAGGAGAAGTGCTCTGTGCAAAATGTCTGGTAGTAGTTTTCTTGCCATGTAAGTATTTTTGTGTATACATATGAATGTATATTATATGTGTATATGTGTGTATTTATATATGCACGTGTGTATATGTGTATGTATTCCAATTCTTCAGTGGATCTGGCATCTCACTCATATGGACACTGTCTTCATTGATGCAGATTATAACCTATTTGTGTCTCCCCATTCTTTTCGACTTCACTATATTCTTCCACAAATTTATGATGGAGGGTCCACTCAACATGCTAGAGACCTTATTAAGATCTTCTGCTATTTCCTACATAACAACAGAATGCCAGTGAGCATTGGTTATTACTCATTCTTATTGGTAGCAACCAGTCCATATTTGTTTCTGGTGATGCATTTTTATGATATATCCTTTAGACTACTCCTGTATGATGCATCATCAGCTGTTCATGTCCACCTTGCCTCTCTCCATTGCTCTGTGGGCAAATCTCAACTTCTATTCTTGGTAAACTGTAGTTTTCCATCTCTCACAACCGTACAAAAATCAGCAGAAGAATACAGGATTTTAAAAAGATTGATTTTTGCTTCAAGGAGAAGTTTGAGATCATTTAAAAGGCTATGTAATTTCCCATGATAAGTCATCCTGCTCTCCTTCTGTTTTATACTATTCCTGACTCATTGTTGACTGGTTGTGTTTGTTCAAGATACATGCACCAATGGATTAGGTTGTCCATCTTAATATATATACACACTCAAGTTCATAAATCTTTTGAAATATCTCTACAGACCCTAAGGTCTCTGGATTCCATGTAAAGAACCTCTAGTTAAGACCACAGGTTCAGGCTGTCCCAATAGATTCTAATGGAACAGCCCATTTAACTGTGGGATAGCTCTATTTGTTAAAAAGTCTTATAGAGAGCTGAAATCTCACTATTAGAGTAATCAGGGGAAGTCTTTCTGATCTGTTGAGCCAGGGCACTTCCTTGGGATCTAAGCCTGCACCCTGGACTCCTCTGGTGCGTCCTATGGTCAGGTACCTTGCTGAAAACATCTACCACCAGCGACTCCTGTTTGGTTCTTGTCTGCTAGAGCTCTGTCAAAGATAGAATGTCAAAGATCTGACTGGTCAGTAGGTTATAAAGGAGAAATGATTTCTGATCTCACCCTCTCTTCCCTCTTTTGAAGATGTGGCCTGGGAATCTGCTCTAGGGGAAGTGCCCCAGTCCAACAGATTGGGGTGGGGTAGGTCCCGATCACACCCACTATACTCCTCTACATGACAGCCTTTAAATATATGAAGGCAGTGAGCATGTTCCTCTGGCGAAATGTTTTCAGTCCCCCCAATTGTTCCTCATGAGCAAATGTGCCCATGCCCTTTCCCACTTCACTCTCCTGTTAGCCCACATCCTTGCTCTTGACAACACAGAGCTGGGCAGGGGATCCTATCTCTTGTTCTTATTGAAGAATTATCTCTCCCATTGGTTAGACCATCAGACCAGGGCATTCCAGTTTATGGCAGGGGTGGAGGGAGTGGGGGAAAAGCTGAGACAGAGCACCAGTAATCCCCATAATTCCACCCATCCTAAGCTGCTTTGACAGGGCTTGAGCTCACTGAATTACCACAGAGAATCCAGTCCATTCAGAAGGGGGAGCCTTAGTCAGAACCACTCTTGCTCTCCACCCAGAGCTGACCCTAGTAGAAGATTTGACCTCTAACTGGTTTCTTGCTTCGTCTTTTCTCGGAAGGTTCAGACACAGTTGAGTGTGAGGCATTGCCCAAGTCTCTGGCTCGGTCCTTCTGATACTGGTCAGGCAACCAGAGGCTTTGAGGGGAGTGGCATTTCTGTTCCAATTTAGACCAGTGATGTATAGATTTTTGAGCAATAAAGACATCAAGAATCCCAGCTCTGATTCATTTCTTAAGGCTGGGCCAGAGGTTTCCTGCTACAGCCAGGGGATGCGCACTGGGGATGTAAGGCAGATCTGCCACCTCAGGAATGGGTCTCGAAGGCTGACCTCTCGGAGAAGATCCAACAGTTTCAGTGCGTGTACCCTACCCAGCATCCCTGAATACCCAGGTTTCCAGGATGTCAAGGTAGGTGTCTGGGAAGGCTCAGTAAACTGCTGTCTGGATAAAAGCCATTCATTCATTCATTCGTTTATCTAACAAAAAATGTATTGAACGTTACCGTGTAAGAGATCCTGTTGTGGGTGTATAGAAGGTAACATAATTCTTACCGTCCAGGAGGTTGTAATCTTACAGGTGGATAAGGCCACCCCAGAAATACCAGCAACTACAATTTGAGATAGTAAATGAGCAAATGGCACAGGTGTAAGTAAGTGCATTAGGAATTCAGAGAAGGAGAGAGAATGCTATAGTCTGGGACATTCAGGGAAGGTTTCATGGAGGAGGTGGTGTTTGAATTGAGCCTTGAAGGATAGATAGGATTTGGAAGTAGTGATGGAAAGCATTGCAGGTGGAGAAAACAGCATGAGCAAAGGCATGGAAATGGGAAAGCACAAAGTATGGAACACTAAGACTTTCCTCTAATTTTTCCCTTCAGTGTGATCCCCAAGTTTGGGTCTCTTCTGTTTAGAGTTAGCCAAACCCTTGGATTTCACTGGGAGAAAGTCTGCCTGAAGGAATATTTCTGCTTGCCCTATTTTCCTTCTCTGCTCACAGTAGGGTCTTTCACATGGCTCTTTGTTCATCTGGCCTTGGGAGTCCTCATGTCACCATACAGCGCTGGGGTCACATACCATTTAGTGTTTATGCACAAGGTGGGGTGGTGATAGGGGAAAGCACCACCAGCCCTGACCAACTATCTTCTCTCATCTTTGAGAGAGACAGACAGAGCAAAAGAGACAGAGAAAGACAGAGATAGAAGCGGAGAGAAGGAAAAAAAGAGAAAGAAAGGAATACAGGAGAGAAAAAAGGAGAACAGATGGAAAGAGCCAAGTTAAGTGGACAGAAAGCCTGGAAGGAGAGGAATGTCTCCTTCTTCATTAGACCCCCATAGGCAGCCTTGGGATCCTAGATCAGATCCCGGGCTTTGCAACAACAGCTGGGTCAGGTGAGGCCACTGGGAGAGTTCCACCAAGTATCTTGTTTCATGCAATTGAGCCAAACACAGCACAGCTTTGGCTGAGAGAAGCCCAGCTCTTCTGTTCCAAGTACAGCTGTTGGACAATTAACATGGAAAAATTAAACTGCAATGTAATTGAAGACTTTATTATAAGTTTAATGACACCCAGACATAACGAGTGGATTATTAGGGTGATAAATTCTCAGCAGCAGCCTTTGGGAGCAGTGAATTAGGAGCCTAGGGTGTTATGGGAATGAGATATTTGGAGATCTGGAGTGCTATAGCAGCTTTTTCATCTTTAAAACACTTTAGGACTATTAACTTAATTAATGTTCACATCATCCCTGTGCAAAGAGGTGGGATAGTATAATGGATGGGGTTGCAGTGAGAGCCCAAAGGCCTGGGTTCAAGTCATCCCTTGGTACTTTACTGGATGTGAGGTCTTAGGTAAAACTGGGAGCAGATATCAAAGCAGTAACTTCTCAGGATTTCAGTTTCCTCATTTGTAAAAATCTGAGGATTGGACCAGATGATTTTTAAGGTCTATTTCAGAACTAACACTGTGTGATTCTGGGAAGGTACACCTCAGCTTATAACACCCCAAAGAGAGTATTTTGACTGGGATGCAATGGGGTCATATCCAAAATGGAGTATGTATTTTCTCCAACAATTCAAATACTATCTTCCTCTGCCCCTCATTCTTCAGAGTGTGATAGTCTAGTGAAAAGTGTGTTGGTTTTAGAGTAGGGAGACTTGGGTTCAAATCTTTACTCTGACACTTGGTAGCTATGTGGTCAAGGACAAGTCATGTTACTTCTCTGCTCCTTAGCTTCCTTATCTGTAAATTGGAGATGAAATAACTTGAATGATACACTTCATAGAATTGTTGTAGGAAACTTTCAAGAGCTATGTAAGTATTTTATTATTATTATAGCTGTGGCATAATGGAGTTGGCCTTGGAGTCAGGAAGACCAGGGTTCAGGTCCTACTTCTGATAGATATTGGCTCTGTGACCCTGGAGAAGTCACTTAACCTCAAAGTGCTTTAGTCAGCTCTTTAAGTCAAATCAACAAACATTTATTAGGCATTTACTACATACCAAGTCCTGGGGATACAAATACAACGAAAAGAAAGATAGTCCCTACCATCAAGAAGCATACATTCTTTCCCCCATCAAATGGGGGAGGACAACACATAAAAGTGAGCTGGAAGGGGGTGGGGTGAGAATTCTAGTTTCTTTAAGATTATAATTTTCAGAAAAGGTGCTAATTTGCAATGGCAGAAATTTCCTCATCTGGGAATTCCCTATATTAATGATATGACAAGTCCAATCTTTATCACTATTATTCTTGCTATTAAAATCCAACTGCTTCCATAAACTTTCCCTGCCATCTCAAGAAACTCTCTTTTCAACTCTGTCCTCAGAAATCTCTTCCATCTTCCTTGCTGAGAAGTTCCATCCAGATCGGTGAACCTGCTGGTAGCTAAGATCCCTTTTTTCCCTACAGTCATGAAATAGAATGACATTCCTTCCACTGAGTAGACTTGGGAAAAGTTAATGCAAAACACAGGCTCTCTCTTGTCCCCCAGGCAGAAGACAAAATGCCTCCCATCTCTTGCCTCTTGGCAGAGAAGTAGGGAGCTATAGGTGTGAAATGGGCCATCCATTGCACTTAGGTATGTTGTACAATATAGTCTGGCTATGCTTCCCATCACTCTTTCCTGTTAGGAAGCTCCCTCTGCTGACCTCATCCATTCTGGTTCTCAGGATCAGAACTCTGTCATTGTTACAGAATGAGTTTTGTTATACTGCTCCCCAGTGATACCACTCAACATCCAGGCAACTTTCCCGATTAAAATTAGGAAAATGCCCTTATTCCCTTTATTTTTAGCATCTTTCTAATTAGAGTATAAATAATCTGAGAGGAGGAGACTTGTCTTTGCTTTTGTATTTGTTATCACCAGAACTTAGCTAATGCTTGACATACAGTAAGCTCTTAATAAAGCTTAATAAATACCTGTTTGTTCATTCATTTTTTTCCCCCTTACTTAACAGTACTTTGTTATAAAGAGAGTTCTGGTGGGACAAAGGGTTGAAGAAAGTACTAGGAAATGATAGAACTGTTAAAAAAAAGTGTCTAAAATTTTTTAAAAAGAAATAAAGAAAAGGAATGAATGAGGAACAGAAAAGGAAGCCCAAGTTCTCACCTCTTCAGTAATTTTCTTCTCAGTGAGGGAATACAAAGCTCCAATATAAAAATCCATATGCACAAATCCTATACCAGGGGTGGGGAACCTGTAGCCTTGAGGCCACATGTGACCTCAAGGCCGTAAGTCCCCCACCACTGTCCTATGTCAATGTAAGGGCTACTAGACTGTGATGAGAAGGACATCTTAGTGACAGGAAATGGGGATTCAGCAGCACTGACTATTTTTTGTTTTCAGTTGGGCCTCATGTTAAACTTTATGCATTATCTTCAAGAGATAAATATTATTATATATGCTATATAATAATATATTAATAATATAACATGTAATATATAATAATATGGTAATATATAATAATATGGTAATAAATATAGCAAGCAATCTTTTCCCCTAGGTTGAGGTCAGAGATCAATCTTAGAATCATAGGATTTAGAACTGGAAAGAATCTTAGAACAATCTACTTCTGTTCCCTAAGTCCTAGAAAGGAGAATTGATTTTCCTAAGGTCGCATGAGTAGGGATCTTCCACTAGGACCCTCTAACTCCAAATCTGGTGGTTTTTTTCTGCTACCTTTTAAGATATTGGTATTGGAAAGGACCTTAGAGCAGAACTGTAACTAGGAATTTTTACATCTGGCTCAAAGGATAGGGCTAACCTAAGGTATTGCCACTCTGAGAAGGAATCATGTGCCAGGACACCACAAGGTTTCTATATTGCTGAAGAATTAGCTACTTCTGGGGAGGTGGGGTAAAGGGACAACATAAGTGGGGAGTCAGAGGTATAGATGTATGTCCTAGAATACAGTTGTCAATGCCCTTTAAATAAACTTTCAGGCAAAGCTCCATTGCTGTCTCCATAGTGATGATTCTGACTTAGAGATTATCCTCATTGCTTAGAGATTAATAAGGAGATTTAGAGGCCAACTATCTTGTCCAAAGACCTAGAGCTGATTATGTTTGAGCTGAGATTAAGGTGTGGGTCTCCTGGTTTCCTGTCTAGTGGTTTTTCTCTTCAGCATCATGTAGCCTCCTCAAATATCCCCAGCACAGTCAACACCTTTGGAAAGACTTATCTTGGTTTATAGCCAGGAACCCTTATCTTGCTCTGTGCCTCCAGACTTGTCTTTTTACTAGAAAGTGGCATACTCTATAAGAGAAGAGAGGGGAGAGATAGAAGGGAGGGCAGAGTAGAGGAAAGGGTATTCAGAATGCATGCTGTCTAGGGGTTGGGGAGGGATGAGATGGGAAAGAAAATGTGGAACTCAAAATCTTGAGGATGTGAATGTTGAAAACTAAAAATAAACAAATTAATAATAATAAAAAGAAAGTAGCATAGTCTCTAGGGGTAAAGGGCTTCCCAAGACAAAAGGCTGTTGCCCCTTTAGGGGTAGTGGGAGGTAAGACAGTTGTTATCATATATCTGAGGAACTCTCCTAGAGAGGGAGGATCACACTGTACTGCTCGGCCCCATACAGCAGAACCAGAAATAACAGAAGGAAGCCCCAGGGAGGCAGATTTTGGGGCTGAATGTAAAGAACCATTTCTTAACAGTTAGAGTTGTCCACAAATGAAAACGCTGCCTCGAAAGGTAGCAAGTTTCCTCTCCCTGAAAGTCTTCAAACACAGTCATGTTGGGTAAATCGTAAAGGAGATTCCTCATGGAACCTGCTGACTCTGCCTTTTCACCGGCAAGGCTGCCATGTTTGGGAAGCTCTCCCTCCTCATCTCCACCTCCTGGCTTCCCTAGCTTACTCCAGGACTCAGCTCAAAGCCCATCTTTTGCAGGAGGCCTATCCTTTCTCTCTCCACCACCCCCAACTATTAGTCTCTTTCTTCTGAAATTACCTTCCCTCTGCTCTGTATATACCCTGTACATACCTAGTGGTTTACAAGTGTGAGCTGTCCCGTTAAAATGTGAACTCCTTGAGGGCAGGGGCTGATTTTGCCATCTTTGTATCCTTAGCACTTTACATGGTTCCTGGCACCATGTAAGAGCTTAGTAAATGCTTACTGACTGACTCTTGGCCTCTGAGCTTCTCAGAGACGGGCTCTGAGGCTCCCTTCCAACTCTGAGATTTCTTATTACGTTGATTTGGTCAAGTCATATCCTGAGGTACAACTTCTATTGGATCTCAGCCTGGGACTTTATTGGCTGAGATGGAGTCTTATCTCTCATTCATACTAGCTGTATGACCCTAGACAAGTAACTTAACCTCTTAGTTCCCCAGGCAATTAAGGCTATAAATTACAGACAAAATATAACTAACTCTACAGAGTAGAAGCCTTTTTGTTGTTGTTGTCATTCAGTCTTTTCAGTCATGTTTGACACTTCATGATCTCATGTGGGGTTTTCTTGGCAAAGATACTGGAGTGGCTCGCTAATTCTCTTCCAGTACATTTTACAGAGGAAGAACTGAGGCAGACAGAGTTAAGTGACTTACCCAGGGTCACACAGCTATTAAGTGTCTGAGGCCAGATTTGAATTCGGGAAGATGAGTCTTCCCAATTCCAAGCCCAGTGCTCTATCCACTGAGCCACCTAATTGTCCTTTAAAAGCCTTTAGAGCAGTCTATAAGAGTCCTTCCTGTCTCCATCAGTGTTATATAGACAATAATAGACTGACACCTGAAAGTGGTCTTAGAATATAATTTTGTCCAGTCCTTTGTTTTTAAAAATAAGGAAATTGAGCCCCAAGGGAGGTAAAATCACTTCTTAACATCACACAGGTGGTAAGGGATAGAACAGACATTCAAACCCAGATCCCCTGACTTCAAATTCAATGCTTTACACAAGGGGTAGTATTAAGGGGATTTATTCTGTGAAGTTTAGATTCAGTCAAAGGGCTGCACTTGAGGACCTAGAGGGCCACATGTGGCTTCAAGGCCACAGGTTCCCACCCCTGCTCTGCATTGTAACACATTATCTCTCATAATGGTTATCATATTTAGTGGTCTGTGGATATATAAAACCCATTTATCGTATTATATTGAATTTGCCCACTGAATTTAGCCTCTGTCAGTTAGCCAAACCAGTTCTGAATTTAATTAAATTTTTGTTATTTATTTTCCTTACAACTTCCAAAAGATTTCACCATATAGCTGCAGAGTGTTGGCCACTGGAAGAAAAGGAAACAGTCCAAAGATGGAGATATCTCATCATGGTCTAACCCTAGCCCAAGATACCAGCTACTCTTTGGGGCCGCATTCTACAAGGAGTCATCCAAACACCAATGGAGACTTTGTGGACCAAAGCCTGGAAGACTACTTCAGCCAAAGGTTGACTGACCTCAGGAACTACAAGGTCAAAGGGCCCAACATGAAGGCCCAGGGAGGGGCTGTGGCATCTTCCCTTCCCTCCCCTCCTTTCAGGACCCTGAGAAGAAGCAGCAGCTGTGGTCCTGACTTGTTAGCCAGCCAAGTCAAAGAGCTGACAGAGCCCTATATCACAGAGGCCCAGGCTCCTGATCTTCCACTTAGCTTTGATCCACAAGAAAGTCAAGGGGGGCTAGATTTTTGCAGCAAGAGCAGCTACCTGGATGTATTGATTTTGAATGCAATTGCCCCATTAGAAATGCTCAAGCAGGTGAATATCAGGCCCTAGAATTGCTCTAGCAAGGGTTAGTAGATGGGTTGTTGCTAGACAATCGTTATAACAGACTCAACTGGCGATTGTTGTTGCGATGGGTGATAGTTGCACGTTGAACCCAATTCCCTTCCATCACTGTATACTTCCTCTCTCTTCACCTGATTCTGAAGACTTGTCTTGTGGTCACTAGCCCCTCTCATCTAGCACTGGGAGCCCTGCCTCTCCCTCACCCTGGTATGGGAGAAAAATAAAGGTCACCAAGCCCTGCCCTAGAGAGTCACTGTTTTTGGAGATCTGAATTTTTCATTAGGATGTATGCCTGGACAATTCCATCCACTTACTTATTTTTAATTTGCACCTGTATTGAATGTTTAATTATAGAATCATAGGTATTGAGCTGGAAGGAACCTCAGAGGCTATTTATACAATTCCCTCATTTTACAAATAAGGAAATTGAGGCCTAGAGAAGTTAAGTGATTTGCCCAAAGCCACACAAGCAGCAGGTATCAGCTGGTTAACTTGAAGCCAGATCCTCTGACTTTATATCTTTTTCCATTATACTTTATGTTAAGTTGACCGTTATTTAAATAAGAGGTCATTTTATATGACATTCTTTTTATTTGTCAAAGTAAAGAAATCAAAACTTTATTTAAAAAATTAACACCTAAGCTTTGCTTTTAAAATACAAGCTTTAAAAAGGAGATACATATTGTCACCACACATTAGAGTGTGCAAGGGGATGCCTAACGCATCCTGTGCAAATGCCTATGACTAAGGCTAAACCATCAGCAGGACCTGAAGACTAGATCTCAGTTTCTGAAATTTCCTCCCCCCCCATAGGCATCTTTGGGGATGTGTAGTTCAGGGACTTGGTAAATTTTTGGACTGGGTTTCACTTCGTGTTCTTCAGACTGTGATTGTGTACTTTCCAAAAAAGCCTTTCCTCTGTTAATTATTTCCTATTAATCCTGTACATATTGCTTTCTATATATGTGTTTGCATGTTGTGTCTCTCAGTAGATTGTAAGCTCCCTGAGGGCAGGAGCTGTCTTTTGCTTCTTTTTGTATCACTAGTGCTTCACACAGTGCCTGGCACATAGTAGGTGCTTAATAAATGTTTATTGATTGATCAACTGATAATAATAACATCCAACTACCGAAGAATAATTGGCAGATGGAGAGCCAATCTGAAAAGTACAAGCTCATTACTGAAGACTATTGTACTACTTAGATGTTCTTCAAACCACTGGCTAATGGTGCGTGACCACATAGCTGTCATAGTGGATCGGCTTTCATGCACAGATGAGTATCAATTGCTATTAGCAAATCACATGTACATTCAAAAGTGGTTTGAAAATTGCTCTTTGGCCATACCCCACTCTCAAACCTAGCATTTCCCTGGACTAGAGGTTTAAGTCCAGGTTTAGCTGAGCAGGAATCCCATATTAGGAGGGTCTCAGGGAATGAGTTCTGACTCCATTTCTCTGTGCTACTGTTCTCTGTGGCCCCCTCCTCCCCGGCCCCCGAATACTTACCAGCCATCATCTTTCCTTCTAGTATGTCATCACTGTATTCAGGCCTTTCACATGATTCCTTTTTCCATGTCATGGGATCTTTTTTTTTTTTTTTGGCTAGGCAATGGGGTTAAGTGACTTGCCCAGGGTCACACAGCTAGTAAGTGTTATGTGTCTGAGGCCAGATTTGAACTCAGGTGCTTCTGAATCCAGAGCCAGTACTCTATCCACTGCGCCACCTAGCTGCCCCCATGTCATAGGATCTTTAATGGACAGCATACATACTGTAGAGCTAAGACCACTGGCCATGGTGCCAGAGGAGCTGGGTTTGTACCCTCAGCTCTGCTAGCCATGGTGCCTACAGGAAGTCGCTCTACTCTTCTGAGCCTCATTTTCTCATTCACAAAATGAGAAGAACAGCACCTGCTGTATTTACTTAACAGGATTCTTGTGAGGATCAAATGAGATACATAGCCATGAAATGGCTTTGTGTAGATCAAGTGCTAATGATCTTCTAGTTCATTAGGCCTTCACATGAACATGGTGAACTAACATTGTGTACTGGAAGAAGAACACCACTGAATCTCAGGGGGAAGAGCAGGGTGAAGTTGATGGCTTGTAAATCCTGCATCCGTTGTCATTCACCTACATATGTGGCCTCCATCATTGGAATACATTCCAGCTACATGCAATTGGTGAAGATGAGGTTGGTGTAGGGTTGGGAAAGGGTTAGGGAGACCACTGTTCTATGGCCCCAAATCCCTTGAAAGTCAAAGAAAGACCATCAAGGCTGGAGCAAACTCCCCCAGACCCCATGAAGAGAGGGCTCATAAGAACTTAGGGATCATTCTAATCTAATGTTCTCATTTTATAGATGAGGAAACAGAAGCTCATCAATGTAAAATGACTTGTCCAAGGTCATACGGGAACTAAGGCACAGAGCCAAACTTAGATGTTTCTGTTCTAAGTATGATGCTTTTTCCACTACCTGACTTCTCTGCTGCTTAGCCTATCCACAGAGAGAGGGCAGGAAAGAGGAGAATGGGAAGTCAGGAAGAAAGTAGCCAGTCCCATCATCCATCTTATAAACCAACGTTTAGGCTAACACATTGGACCAGAATAAATCCTCCTTGGAATCTGGTCTTGAAAACTATTTCTATTGAACTCATATTGTTTGTGCTGATGAGACTTCAGCAGAAGCTGCTGACAAATGTTCTCAAAAGTTTGCATGAACTCCAAACAACAGGGCTTAGAATAGCTCTTATTCAAAAGAATAGCAATTAGTCATACCAAAATTAGTCATTTTGGTGCAGTAATTAGTATTTTGGCTTATGATTTATTTTTCATTTTCATCTGGGCCTCAGTTTCCCCATTCTATAAAATGAAGGGGTTGAATTATGCTATCTCTGAAGCCCCTTCCAGCTCTGATGGTCCATGTTCTAAAGTTGTACCTCACATCTGGTATATGCCCTAAGGTCTACAAAGCATTTTTCTCACCACAGTCCCAGGAAGTGGGTATTCAAGCACTTTCACCCCTATTTTGCATAATTTTAAAAGCTTTTTTTTAAAAGCCTTATCTGTACTTTCATTGTTGCAGGGAACTCTCATTGAAGAAAGGCACCTGCTCTACAGAAGTTTTATAGAATTGTCAAGGGCATTGAGAGGCTAAGTGTCTTGCTCAGGGTCATACACCCTTTGTATGTCAGAGGTTGGACTCCGACCCAGGTCTTCCTGACTCTGAATTCAGCTCTCTAATCATTATATTAAGCTGACTCAACCCATTTTATTGATGAGGAAACTGAGGCCCAGTTAAATGACTTGTCCAAGGTCACATCACTAGTAAGCTGTAGAGCCCAGACTAGAGCCCAGGTCTTCTGACTCCAAATTCAGTGGCCTTTTCACTACAGCACCTAGCTATAGCTGCCCCCAGCGTTGACTCCCCAGCTTTTCTTTCCAAATATAATATTCTTTTGTTCTAAGGCAGACATTCTACTCTATCTCTGGAGTTAAAGGACCTGGGTTCAAGTCCTATCTCAGAGACTTACTACTGGTGTGTCCTTGGGCAAGTCAATTAACACTCCTAGCTTTCATCTCTTATTCATGAAATGAAGGTTTCAACTAGATGACTCTGAAGATCCCTCTGGCTCTAGACTTATGGCTCCATGACTCTTTTAAAAAATGTTGTCTTTGGGTGAGGAGAATTGGCCCTCACCCAAGCCTGGCTGTGCTGCTTACTAGCCAGATCACCTTGAGCACTTTTATTTGTAAAATGGGGATAATAATACTTACACTAACCGCCTCACTGGGTTTTTATGAGGAAAACACTTCATAAACCTGCATAGTGTTACAGAAATGGGAAATCTTATTAAAAGTCCCAACATGGCAGGGTGAGTGGTGCAAAGTCAAGTGTGATCAGATGCCATCTTAGAAACTGATTGTCCTCGCCAAGTCCCATTAGCAGTTGCTTGTTTGGAACTCAGAATTGCATTTTCCCAACAAAACAATGTACTCAGAATAGTAGGTAAACTTATCCATGAGTTTCAAAGGGAAAATGTACTTCAAGTCCCAGTGCCCAGCACAGTGCCTTATACATACTAGCCTCATGTTTGTTGAGCTGAATTGAACTGAATTTGCTTCTGGTACTTGGTCCAACCCTGGAGGGAGGCCAGGAAAGATGAGAAGAAAACAGGTGATGGGAAAGGTCCAACAGTGTATCTTATAAATCTAAGGGTCAACATATGGCTGCAACGCAATAGAATAAATATTTGTTATAATACAATGCAAAAAATACTTGTTAAGGACCTACTATCTGCAGAACATTGTGATAGGAGATACCAAACTTAGACAAAATAGGGTTCCGCCCTCAAGAAGCTTATAATTTGTGATGTGGAATCACACACCAACATGGACAGTTGTAATACAAGTGACAAACTTCACAAAAATTTCATGAAAAAGTGAAATGCAAGCACAAGATAGAGGCAGTGTTCGTGAGGTAGATTCTAATTGGTTCTCTTGATTCTCACACCAAACCAACTCCATTTTGTAACTGGCCTTCACTCACTCAAGATCCACTATTCCTTCAATTATTATATGATGAGAGGAGGTAGATGGTGAGCACATTGACTTGACTGGAGCAGATGGTGCATGCTGGGATATAGCTGGTAATAATTGTGGGATTTGATTAAAGAAGTTCAGCTCTCTTCTCTAGCTGTACTGGCCAAAATTCGCTTACAGTTTCATGGACCATGAGGTCTCCAAGGTTTTCTACAGTTCATATGAGCAGAGCTACAGAGTTCTGATGGACCTAAGAGGTCATCGAGTTCATTTTCTTCATTTTATAGAAAAGAAGATTAGTCCTTCATAATCTAACCCCACTCTTGGCTTTTCAGTCTTCTTACACCTTGCTCCCCAACAGTCTTAGATCCAGTGACACAGGTCTTCCGGCTGTTTCAGAACAACACTACTGACCAGAGAGAGTGAAGGAATGGAGTTGGAACAAAATGGAGTTGGTTTGGTGTGGGAATCAAGAGAACTAATTAGAATCTACCTCATGAACACTGCCTATATCTTGCACTGCCACATGTCATCTCTTCCATCTTGCTGTTTTTCTGCAAATCATCCATGGGAAATCAGGCGGCATAAGCCATCTATTGTTTCAAAAGTGCAGGTGGATGCAATTAATGATCATCTCTCAATTCTGGGAAAAGACCCCAAAACCTACTTGTCCCCCTCCCAACTTGACTGAAACTCACTCTTCCCCTCTCCCAATTTGGAAAACCCCTAATCTTTCCTCCAATTAGGAATTAGATTATCTAATTTTGGATCCTGGCTTGTATCCTGGTTGTTTTCTTATAATTAATTGGTTTCATTTGATTAATTATTTTAATACATTAAAATATGTCTTGGTCTCTATTCAGGGTCTTTGGACTGACTGGGAAGTCCACTGACCCGTTTATTATACCTGTTTTGCTAATAAATCATATTGCTTGCATGTTTCCTCTGTTATTATTAATTAACCACCACACATACCATCTCTCACCTCCAGGCATTGTCTCTGGCTGTTCTCCATGCCTAGAACATTCTCCCTCCTCTCCTCTGACTACTGAATTCCCTGTTTTCCTTTAAGTCCCAGCTAAAATCACACTTTCTATAGGAAGCCTGTCCTAACCCCTCTTAATTCCAGAGCCTTCCCTCTGTTAATTAAATCCTATTTATCTGATATATAGCTTGCTTTGTATATATTTCTTTGTATGTTGTCTCCCCTATTAGATAGTAAGCTCCTTGAGGGCAGAGACTGTCTTTTGCCTTTTTTTATACCCAGTGTGTAGCATAGTACCTGGCACACAAGAGGCACTTAATGAATGTTTATTGATGGATTGACTTGCTCAAGCTTATGCAGGCAGTACATATTGATTTACTGATTTTTTTCTCTACATCTTTTTTTTTTTACTTTACAAAAATTTTGAACTAAATTTTATTGGTCTTTTTTAATGTCTTCAAAAATTTCCCCAGCATCCTTCCCTCCTCTCTCCCAGAGAACCAACACAAATTAAATTTTTAAAGAAAAAAAGAAAAAGAAGAGAAAAAATCAACAAAATTGATCAATACATTGAAAAAGTCCCAAAATGTGGCAATATGCCACATCTGTGGGTCTCCAACCACTGCAAAAGATTGGGTCTATTTTCTCATATCTCCTTTAGAGTCGTATTTTTAAAAAAAATTTTGTAACATTCACTTTTGATTATTTTGGGGCTATTCTTTCCATTTATATTGTGATCATTGTATCTAAAGTTTTCTTGGCTCCATTTACTTTGGATCCGTTCATGTAAATCCTCCTATGCTTCTCTGTATTCATCATATTTATAATTTATTACAACACAGTAATATTTTATTACATTCATATACCATAATTTGTTTGGTCATTCCCCAAGCAATGAGCAACTACTTTGATTCTAATTCTTTATTATCACAAAAAGTGTTGGTATAAATATTTTGATCTACATGGGAACTTTCTTCTATCAACATTTCCCTTGGGTATAAGATTAGTAGCGAAATCTCTAGGTCCCCCTGGGGTATGGACATTTTAAGTTACTTTATTTGCATAATTCCAAATTGCTTTCCAGAAGGATTGTACCATTTTATAGCTACACCAATAATGCACTAGGGTCTTATCTTCCCAGAACCCCTCCAACAACAATTATTTCTATCATTTCTCATATTTACCAATTTTTAGGGTATTAGGTAAAACTTTGGGGTTGTCTTGATTTGTGTTTCTCCTATGATTAGTGACCTTTGGAACCTTCTTTCATACGGCTGTTAATAGTTCAAATTTCTTCTTTTGAGAACTGTTTCTTCATATCCTGTGACTATTTCTTTACTGGAGAATGACTTTTGTTCTTAACTATTAATTATCAGTGAGTTGTTTATGAAGCTTGGACATCAAATCCTTATCAGAAAAAAATTGGATGGTAAGATTTTTTTTTTCCCATTCAACAGCTTCCTAGGGCATTAATTTTGCTTGTGAGAAGCCTTTTGGTTTCATGTAATCAGTTATCTATTTTATCTTTTTTAAATTGCCTTAATACCTTATTTGGTTAGAAATATGTCACCTATCTATAGCTGTGAAAGGTATGTGATACACTTTTCTTTTAGTTTTTAAAAAAATGGTACGGTATTTAATATTAAGGTCATATACCAATTTAGGATGTATTATGGAATATAGTGTTGGTCTAGGCCTAATTTCTGCCAGACTTTTTCCCAATTTTCCCAGTAGAATTTTTTTTTAATCAAAAAGGGAGTACTTTCCTAGCTAATTTCTGTTTGCTGGTTTATCAGACTTTGGATTATTGAGTTCCATTGTTGCTGATTTTCCTCAACTAATCTGTTCCATTGATCTATTTTTTAATCAATACCAAATGATTTTGATAATTACTGCTTGAGGTCTGGAACTACTATTTCTCTTTCATACCAATTTCTTCTCCTTTTTTCTTTAGTATTCTAGATCTTTTTCCAAATAAATTTTATCTTATCAAGTTCTATTAAGTATTCCTTTGATAATTTGATTGATATTAAAACCATAAATTAACTTTGGTGGTGTTTTTTTTTATTATTATATTGGCATAGTCTATCCATGAGCACTGAATATTTCTCTAGCCATATAAGTTGTTCTTAATTTCTTTAAGGAACAGTTTATAATTGAATTTATATAAAATTTTGTGTGCTTTATATTATACATTTAAAGCACTATAGATACAAATTACAGGGAGACAGATTATGACTTAATATAAAGAAGAACTTTCTAATATAGTCAGAGCTGTTTAATAATTAAGTGAATTGTCTCAAGAGGTAGAGAATTTGTTATTACTGCAGATGTTCAGTGGAGTTTGGATGACTACTCATTAGGGATATTTCATATTTAAATTGTGCTTCAGGTAGGGCTAGACCTAGTCTAAGTCCTTTATGACCTTGAGGGTGACTTTAGCACCAAGATTTTATGATTTTGATTCTATTTATCTTTGTATCTCCTAGAATGTAAGCTCCATGAGGGCAGAGATTCTTTTTATCTTGGTCTTTGTCTGCCTAGCACCAAACACAGTGTGCTTGCTAGGGGAGGTACTTAGCAAATGCCTGAATCAATCCCTTTCAATACTGAGCACAGACCCTTACGGAAACCAGATACTTAACAAATGTTGAATGGAGAAGTAAGTGAAAAAATGTTTAAGCCTTGTCAAGTGCAGAGACCAATGTCAACTACCAAATGTAAATAATGATTAGTAGCTGCAGGTGTCTCCATGCAGAACCTATGTGCAGACGATGCATGAGCCTACAGTGCCTAGCAAAAAATGCATGAAATTTTGTGGGTTTTTTTTAAATTAAGGAATTTATTTTTCTAAAAAAAAAAACAAAACAGTGGTTTGATCTAGATACAGCAGCACTGTGACATTATTAGAATGTACAGAGAATTAGGGCAGCCAGGGAACACAAAAACCACTATCTCCAGAACCACCTCAGAAACAGAGCTAGTTTTATCAAACAGTGTGAAAATTTTCCAGGGGAAAAAAAAGAGAATGAGAGAGAGAAATCTTAAGATGCTGGAATTATGATTATTGTTATTACTATCCATTATCATTATTATTAAAACAAGATCAAAAGCCATGAACTATTAACCAAGAACGTTTGTTTTGGAGTGCTTACAAAAATGACTTTCCAACTGACTCATAACAGTCACATCTAAATCCTTTGGAAAAGCCCTTTCCCTCTCGGAGAGAGTATGACATTTCCAAATATGTCCACATCTTGACCACAGTAGAGCAGATTTTGAAAATCAAACTGGAAATATGTCCATGGGCATGAGTGTGAATCTGCAATGTCGGTGTTTAAATTGGGTGGGCTGACTGGTTGTTTAAGCTGGTGAAGGCAGCTTCTTCTGACCAGGTGAGAGATGCTTGTGACCGAACTATGTAATGTGAAACTGCACAAAGAAATCTGTGTGCCCTTCACCTTCCTCAGCAAAGGCCAAAATGTTAAAAGTCACACCAGTATGTCCCAGATTAAAAAAGAATGGCAACTCAAAGAAGACACATTCAGTTATTCATCCTGAAGCCCACTCAGGAGCCATGTGGTAAGGAGGGAGCTGTAAGCACAAAGATTACCTGGACAGGATATATTATATATTTATCATTAGTGGGTGAAGATTTCTTGGGGGCCACCTGATTGCCAAGAGACTTTGATTCTTCTTTTTCTGCTTGCCAAGGGAGGTTGACTTGGCCCCAACCCAAAGCTGATGTGCCTCCATGGGAAACTGTCCAAGAGGTGTGCTCACTCTGTTGATTTAGTCATGCTCTAGAAGAGTCCTGGCATGGCTGAAACATCTGGCCAACAGCCGGCAAAGGAAAAGATTTGAAATGATGTGACTTCTTCAGGAAAAGGGGGATGGGAATGGAAGAAGAGGAGTTTCAACACTGTGGATGTTCCTTGATAATCACGCAAGCAAAGCATAGGAACTTCTGCTCTCTTAAAAGACTGACTTGTCTTCACAGGGAGGCACTCAAGACAATCAGTATCCCAAACAGAAATTTTAAGGACCTGAGGGCAAACTCTGCTCCCAAGCAGCACCCGCTGAAGCCAGTGGAGTCAGCCATGTGCATTTATCTGGAACCAGAGGCAAAATCTGTCCCTGAATTATTACCCTGTAAGGCGTTGATATAATTCAATCATGCTATTGACTGCTCTAGTTTAAACAGCAGAACTAGCCCTCCCCCCCAAACAAAACAAAACAAAACAAGACAAACCAGAACAAAACCAGGAATGATTCCTACTGGCAAAGAGCAATACATTTTAGAAGGAAATGGCACCTTCTTGCTGCTGTTCAAAACTCAGTGGAAGATGGCATAGAGTCAAGGGAAATCTGGGCAGAGTTCTGTAACTCTATATTATCAAATGAAATAATATTTATAAAGTGCTTAGCACAATGCCTCGCACATAGTAGGTGCTTAATATATTTATTCTCTTTTTTAAAGTATTTTTCTTTGATCATGGACACAAAACAGGAAGAACGTTCCTGTCTACTATTGGAACTGCCTCCTGGGATGTCAGTTCCATGGGGACTGGTGGTGTATGTGTGTGTGTGTGTGTGTGTGTGTGTGTGTGTGTGTGTGTGTGTGTGTGTGCACGTGTGTGTGTGTAGGGGGAAGCTGTCTCCTCAATATCCAGAACCATTGAGGAAACTCAATAATGGATCATAACGATGATGATTTCAGGGACAACCACTGTCTTACTGAAGACAGAAGCAAAGAGAAGTTTTGTACAACTGGGGACCCACTCCTTGGGTCTCACCCAAAAGGCACTATGTCAATTGACTAATTGTGCACAAAATCACATCCTTAAAGAGGAATTCTTTTTCATAGAGCTCAAAATTTTTTTAAACTCAGATCATCCAAAGATGTCTGCACAAATAACTACTTTTTTTTTTTGGTCTTAAAATAGATGTAGAAGATGAAGCTTGGAGGGGAGGACTTTCTGATGATTGACTCAAGAGGTTGGTGATATAGATGGACAGTCTCTTGGGCATTGCTTTAATGAGGTGCTTTCTTGTAACAGCCAGGCACTGGCCTTTTGGCTCAAATGATCTGGGGGGCTTAGCAGCAAAGTAACCTCAGCTGCAACTCTCGTGAACATTTATGGCAGTTATAACAAGAGAAGGATAGCCTCAAGTCTTTCTAGGAATCAGTGTTGAGACCTGTGTTTTTGATAAAGTCCAAGTGAGCCAAGGACTAGAAAAAGAAAAACAGTAGAAGCCATATTTAAAGTTTTCTTGAATGTTCTCCAGGGGGTTTAAAATCAGTGTGGGGTTTTGACACTGAAAACAACTATTACATTCTCCTTACAGCATGAACATTTACTCCCAATACTAACCCACCTAAAGAGTTTTGAATACCAATAGATCGGGTAAATAGAGAGAAACCATTAATGTTAGGAAGGCAGGGTGGTCCTTTGGGTCCTTCTACAGAATGATCTTCCATTCTGTCATTGAGAAGGGAAGATCAGCAAAGTTTTGGGCCTTAATACTGCTATTCAAAGGTATTTCCATTTCCTTGGCAAAAATGGCAAAGGTGGATGGTGCTATCTACCTCCAACCTAACCCAAAGAAATGGGATGGCCAATTAGTTCAAGAACTAGTCCAGGAAATTAATACTACAGATTAAAGGCATATAAGTGGAATTAAAATATTTCTTTTCTCCCATTTATTTGTAGAACCACCTCAAAATTATACAGCTCAATTTTCTACTTCCCTTTCTAGTATATGAGTACTTCCCAAAAGGCACATAACTGAAGTTCAGGATCTAAGGATGGGGTTCTACCATTTGCTAGTTGTGCGATTTGGGACAAGTAACTTTGCATCCCTGGGTCTCAATTTCCTCATATATAAAATGAAGGGGTTGAATATCTAAAGTTCCCTGTAATTCAAACATTCTACGATTATGAAATTAGGTTGTGAATTTAAGTCTCACAAGATGTTTCTCCCTGAAAACTCACCCCATTATTTAATTCACCCAAGCAAAGTAAGTTCTGAGTGGTCTCCTCCCCAAACATTGGCAATCCACTAAACCATAGCCCAGAAGTGCAGAAGGCCATGCAAAATGATGGCAGCAAATCCTGGCACGCCTTAAGGGGAGTCAGGTGAAGCCATTGCTCACCTTACTTGGGTGGGAGCGCTTGGGGTGCTAGGATGAGAGTGGGATAATTTGTTCAATGTCTCTTCATTAGAAGGGAGACTGGGGAACCCAGTGTTCGGGATGAAACTGTTTACATGGAAGTATGACCCTAGACAGGTTACTTAACATCTCTAGACCTCAGTTTCCTCATCTGTAAAATGAGGAGGTGGGATAAGATGGCCTTTGAAGTTTCTTCCAGTTGTATCTATTATCTTATGATCCTTTGACATTGGGATTGTCTCCAGAGGTCTTTTACCCATTTTGGTTTGGTTCATCCTGGCTGGGAATGAACCTACATTTCTGATTTGAATTTTCAGATTCTTAGAAGGGCCTTCTTTGGCTCAAACCTCTGTCCTGACCTTGGAAGAGTGTCTGGCACCCCTTACTTATTTTCTTAAGTCAGAATTGCCTTTGTTTGACCTTTCAAGTACCATGCCACCATTTTGGTCACTGGTTCTCTGCATGGGCCACCCAACTCTGGACCAGAGAAACCAGGGAAATCCACCCCTGCCTGATCTTTGACTACTTACCAACCTACTCATATGCTGGGCTCTGTAACTAGAGACGCTTTTACTCGCTATTCACACAGGAACCAGGAAGGATTTGCATGAGAGGCCTAATTTAATTTTTTTCTGTTCTGTACTACTATGTTCCTTCTCTCTAGGATGCCTCAGAAGGAATCTCTGTTACATGCAGAGGCACAGAAAAATCTCAGGAAATTTTCCTTCTTGTTTTTATCATTCTTGACCAAACATTAGAGCTCATACCGACTTCTCCTATATCTAGGCTTCTTTTTGTCTGCAAAAGTTTAAGACACTTGGGATTGCCTTTCATTCTCATCATTCTTACATTTTGCTCTTTAAAAAAAACAACCCTAAACTTTAGAGAAATGCATGGAAACAAGAGGTCAGGACACACTAGATAGGAAAGACAATAGTCTCTGCCCAGGGACCAATGGCCCAAAGTCTTCTAGGACCTGCCCATGCTTCTTCTTCCTGGAGACTATTTCTAATGTGAAAAGGGGATGGAGAATGGAAAACAAGACCCTGAATCACACCACAAATATTTTGATGATCTATGAAAAAAAAAACCTGGTGTTAAATTCAATGGTGCCAGCAGGTCCCAGCCTCACATGGAGGAAATTCTCAAATTGAGTTAAGTCACAAGTGTGCCCTTTTTTTCCCTTTTCCTTTTTTTTTTTTTAGCATTTAGTACAAGACATTACAAACTAACAGGGAGATTGTAAGCAGTGTTGCTATAAATCAAATATACAAACAAATGTAAGTTAGTTAAGAATAAATTGTGCCATAAAATGCATGTATGGAAATATAATCCACTAGCTCACGTGAAATTGGAGTAATTCTCTGCAGTTAATAAAAACAACAATTTTTCAATTGAGGCTCTGGAAGTCTTGAGTCACATTTTTAAAATCCCCCCCCTCCCCTCAATGTCTTAAAACACATGGCTTTACAACGGCTGCACAGAAAATATACACCCTCAAAGTCTGACTTTCATTTAAATACAAATGTACAAAATGTAAACTGAGACAATAGAGAAATTTACAAAACTTTTCTTTAAAAATAATAAGGACAAAATTCAGTTCTAGGTATGATGCTATTTAAATACGTGCAAGTTGTATTATCTGTTGGATTTCTATTGCAACGTTCTACAGAGACCAAGTGCCATCACACCAGCTGTCCAAGAGCCCCCTCCAGAAAAACAGACCTGAGTGGGGATTTCTTCAGGAAAATTGGAGGCTCTACTTCCAATGTTCGGACAGGGCCTTCTACTGGCTTTTGGAGGGGCGGAAGCATTGGCTTAACTCAGTGACAGTGGTGGCTCTTGTTGGCAGGAGCTCTGTTTCTAAAGTGGAAGGACTAGGGTGTGGCCCCATTTAAAACTCCCAGATTTGAGCTGGGACTAGCTGCTTCCAGTAGAGTTTGAACGTACATGGTTGGAGTTGATGTGGTGGTTGAAATTCGCCTTGGAATTAGTAGTACTCTTGGAGTTGTTCTGATGCTGGAAGAGAGAAAAACCATTAGACCTGCTACAATGACAGAGGGAGACAGACATCTCCTAGTCTAAGCAAACATTTAAAAGGAAATTCTCTGCCCTGTTTGATGAGCACATCCTCAAACTCTGTGCAAGGCAGGGCTCCTTAAGCAGTATTTAAACTTATGGAGAGAAAGGAAGGAAGGCAGACACTGGGCCATCTCCCTGTCTCTGCCTCTAGTTTGCTGTCCATTGTTTTATTTTATTTTTAATAATTTTATTTTTAATTTATGAAATAAAACAAAGCATTTCCATAACATAGTATAATAATAAAAAAAAGATGATTGCACATGAAACTGTAAATCTATTATGTACAACTTGCTATTCTTTTTAAATATATAATAAAGTTATCATGTAAATTTCTTTTTTTCTTCTCTTCCCTTACCCCCCTTACCCCCTTTCCCCCACCATAGAGATGGCTACTATCAGATACAAATACGTGTGTATATATATATATATATATATATATATATATATATATATATATATATGTAAAATCATTCTATACATACTCCTATTTATTAGTTCTTTCTTTGGATGCAGATAGCCTCTTCCTTCATATGTCCTTTGTGGTTAATTTGGATATTCATAATAGTCAAAATGTCTTCTTTGCTCAAAGTTGTTCTTGAAACAATATTGCTGTTACTGTATACAATGTTCTCTTGATTCTGCTCACTTTGTTCTTTGTTATTTTGTGCAAGTCTATCAGTGCTTTTCTAAGATCATGTGCTTTCTCTGCGCAGACTAGGCTTACAGGAGTAATTAACTCAATGTTGCTTATCAATGCAGTGTCTTATGGAGCTTTAAAGAATCTTGGTAAAGTCTTCTAAGTTGTACAGCCTGATCCCTGTGACATACAGATTGCTCTTTTTAGGGCTCAGTGAGCTTCAGGGACTCCAAGTTTTGCAGGGGCTACTTGGGCAGTGACAACATCTCTAGTCTTCACCCTAGAATCCACCTGTTTAGAAGGTAACTTTATTAATTTCTTCCTAGTGAATTTCTAAATGGGCACTTTTAGGTGCTAACATTTATCTAATGAACTCTTGCATACTGAAAACCATAATAATAATAATAATAGTGCCTAGCTTTTATACATAACACTCACTATGTGCTAGGCACTGTACTAAGTGCTTTACAATTATTATCTCATTTTGTCCTCATGGAAACCCTGGGAGGTAGGTGCTATTATGATCCCCATTTTACAGATGAGGAAACTGAGGCAGAGATTAAGTGATTTGCTCAGGATCGCACAGCTAGTAAGTATATGAGGCCAGATTTGAATTCAGATCTTCCTGACTCCAGGCCTGAACTTCTACCTACTGCACCGCCTAGGATTCAGAGCTGGAAGGGACGTTAGAGATATCTGGCCTAACTACCTCATTTTACCAATAAGGAAACAGATCCAGAGAGGGAAAGTACCCTGGTTATGAAGGAGAGTCGGGACTTGACCTCATGTCTTGTGATCCTAAATCCAGTGCTCTTTCAATTACACCCCATATAGTAGAGAGGAAGAAAGTAGAACCCAGCTACTGCCTCGGAGGCAATTTTCTAAACCTCCCTGGAGATTTCCACTATGTCACATCCCTCTTGCAGAAATTCTATGGGCTAAGAGGGCATCTGTGTATCATTTGCCTCTATCAGACTTGTTGAGAAATTGTTGGGGCAATATTGGGGGGTCATCAGATAGACAAAGAGACGAGAAAGGGCATGGCAGACCCCTCTGGCTTCCAGTTGCTTTGAAAGGGGAGGACTTCGGAAGATGAGTGGTAGCTGTGTTGCTCTGGTGGTGACGACTTGGAACACTTTAGCTACTAAAGTTTTCTTTTGGTTCAGAATTACTAACCAAGCATTCATAGCATTGTAAGCAGGACTGTGATTTGCTTGATGGAAATTCCTGTTCCCCTTTCTTTTAAAGAATTTGCAGTTTTCCGCAAGACCTTCTGAGGGGCATCTGGTCCAGGCTGATGACTGGAGCCTCCTGGGTGTTAGGAAGACATCACAATTCCTAACAACTGTTCTGTGGAGGGGAGGGTACCTGCCGCTCTGCACAGATAGGGCAAACTAGCTTTTCTTGGCTCTAGGAACAGCCATGCCTCAAGAGGGAAATGAGCTGCAGGTTTGGCTTCCTTTGGTTGGGAGGGGGAGGAAAGGGAGAAGAGCAATGTGAGCTGCAAAGGATTATGGGGCTGAGAAGGCAGCCTTCATAGGGGTGGTGGAAAAGAAAATTTCAAGACTTGCTGCTCCAGTCTCTTCTTTCTCCTCCCAACTCAATTTAAAAGTTGGTGAATGGCACAAGTGAATTCCATATCACTGCTTTTGGGACAAAGAAACATCAAAGGAAATGGAGCAAAGACGTGACTTTAGTGTCATCTTCTATAGACCACATCCATGCCCTGGATCTTCATGGCCACTCCCACATTCCAAAACTCTTCAGGGAACCTGAAGCAGGCTGGAGATCTCTGGGCCCTCCTTTTCCACAGCACCCTCAAAGAAGATACCCCCACCCATCTACCTCATCTCCCTAGAAAGTCTTCCAAAGCAGCACAGTAACTGTCCTCTTTGCTAAGTCACCAAAGTTAAGCCCTGTCCTCTCTGTCGTGGAGCCTACAGCAGGGATGAGTAGAAAAGGGAGCTGACCAAAAGAATATAAGATAGCTTAGTGCCCCCACCTCCATAACAGGAATAAATCCCTACAGCTGGACGTACTGTGATAGCCATCACCTCATCTGAGCCCCCCAGCATTTCTAGGAAGTAGGGCAGGTGCTCACATCCCCACTGCATGTGTGGAGAAGCCTCATCATGGAAAGGTAAAGTGACCTCTTTCCCATCTCTTCCTCTTCCTCTTGACTCCCATCAGCATGCATTAGCACTTGCCTGGATTGTACGGTGCATTCCTAATTGGGCTCTGCCTCTGCTTCCACCCTCCACCATACTGCTTCTCCCAGAATCAGCTTTCTCTTCATCTCCTGAGCAGAAGGGAACCTCTTCCTCCTCAGATTTTCTGTTAGCATGTTGTCCTGCTCCCTCCTTTGCCCTGCTTACACTCTATCTCATGTATGCCCATTTATACAAACTCTACACTCTCCTCATCCTCCCAGTTACACTGTGAGCTTCTGGGAGTCAGGCATTACGGAGTTCTTCATCTTGTGTCCCCGGCACACTGCCCAGTTCATGGCACATCATACTTGCTTAATCAATGTCTGTTGAGTCAAATCAAACACTGTAGCCAGACTAATCTTCCTTAGGCCCAGATCCAGTTATGGCAGCCCCCACCAAGGCCTTCCTGAGACTCCTGACTGCCTAGGACAGTGGTTCTCAAAGAATATGCAGCCACTTTCCTTGAGTTTTGCTGGGCATGCCTCAAATCATGTGGAACTTACCATTCCTTGGCATGTGCATACATGCACCTCCTGACCCTTTGGTAGTGTGCTGTGACTGACTACTTGGAGCAAAGGATAATACTGAGCTGTCTCTCATTCTGCTTTCCAACATGTATCGTGTGCTCCTGCCATTCGGGACCATGTGCCATCTATCTCACACTGTTCCCTATGTCTGGAATGCTGATTAGCCTCCTATTTTATCTGATGAAATCCCACCCATCCTTCTATTCCTAGTCAGAGCCTTGGAAAGAAAAACGAGATTTCTGGCACTTTCATTTTCCAAAAAGATTGCTCAACTTAGATCTGATTCATCAGAAAAAAGACAATATCCTCCCTGCATCTCTTAACATTTTAAATATCAACTCAGCTCCCTCTAGCCAAGAAAGTCTCCTTCAGACTTGGATCAACATTTTGCCTGTGCCTTTTATGCATTCACTTGTACATTGTATATATATTATCCCCCTACTTCAAGCTCCATGAGGGCAGGAAAAATGCCACATCTAAACTTTGACTCTCCCCAGACCCTGAGCATCTTGTTCCGCACACAGAGCCTAATATTGAAGTTGACTTGCTCCCTTCCCATTCTCCACCCGCCCCCCTATCACAAAGTAAATTCACGGGGGAGCTAGATTAGAACCTGGATCATCTGACCCCCTAGCACATTCTCCTAGTTCACCAGACTTCAGACTACTCATTGTATGCCACCCCACCACAGTATTTTCCTGAATGCAAAGTGAGTGATTCCTTGGGGTAGAATATATTGCTGGGCTCTCTTGACTTGTGGACTTTGAAAATCAGGACTAGACTAGGGAATCTGGAGAGTCCAAATGAAGTCCTGGAACTTGCCAACACTGTAATTGTCAGAACTCTTCTTCCCTCCCTGGGACTCCCTTTGCCTAGCGCACTGTTTGTCAGGGACGGTCAGAGGTCACTGATCTCTTTGTTCTATAGCTCTTGTGTTGTACAGATAACCTGGTTGTGCCACTCATCTGCTCTGTGATCTTGGGCTAGTCATTCCTCAAATCGGTGCCCTAGTTCTGCCATTTATAAAATGAGGTCCCTTAATCTCAGAGATCCTTCTAGCTCTCCCCTTCCTGTTTGTTCACATTGGAGTTGTTTTCCTTATGCTGTCAACTTCTCAAGGTCAACTGAGTTTAACTCAATTGGTGTGGTGTGTGACCCAGGATCCTAGCAGCTAAGTAGGTCCCCGAACAAACTTGTTGTAGGCTACTGGAAACCTGGAGGCAGCTAGGTGGCTCAGTGGATAAAGCACTGGGTCTGTAGTCAGGAAGACCTGAGTTCAAATTCAGATGCAGACACTCACTAGCTTTGTGACCCTGGGCAAGTCACTTAACTTCTGTTTGCCTTAATCCACAGGAGAAGGAAATGGCAAATGACTCCAGTATCTTTGCCAAGACAACCCCATATGGGCTCATAAAGAGTCAGACATGACTGAACAACAACAACATAATTGGAAGCCCATTTATGAAACTATATCTTCAACTTATTTTGGCACTGGACTCCCCTAGACAGAGCCTGGAGGATGTCCTTGGTGCCCGCTGATCGGTGAGGAAGCCCTCTATGCGCCATCTCTCTGCTTCTAAACACAACAGTAACTCACATATACAGGCTGCCTTACGGACGTCATCTCCTTTGAACCTCACAAAGACTCTGTGAGCAGACGGGGGGAGTATTATCAGCATGATGCAGGGAAAGAATGCCGGATGATTTGATATCAGAGAGACTGGGTTCGAATCTTGGCTCTGTCACTTCCTCTCTATGTCTGAACTTGGGAAAGTCCCTCAGCCTCACAGGCCTCAGTTTTGTCATCTGTAGGTTAGAGACGAATTTTAAGGCCCTTCCAGCTCCGAATCTGGTATGACTCTATCTTAGATATCAGAAAACTTGTTCAAAGTCTTACTGTCAGAGAGTGGCAAAAGCGGAGTCTAAACTCAGGTCAACCACACCAGGATGCTTCTCTCGACAAAACACCATCTATACCACCCAAGAAGCTCCTGCACCATAGGTGAGGGGGTGGCCCAAAGGAAGTCCCGGGAGCCTGGTTATTTTATTTTCACCTCTGGCCCTCTAAAAATAGTTCAGTTTTTTTTTCTTTTACTGCTTTTTAGATATTATCTCAGTTGATTCTCACAACCGCTAAAACATGGTATTACAGATGTCATTATACCTAATTTACAGATGGGAAAACCAAGGTTCAGAAGACAAACTGCAGTGCTAGAATTTGCACTTGGCTCTTCTGGCTCCAAAGCCATGGTTCTTTCACTCTGGCATGAGAACCAATGACAAAATGTTACTGTATCTGTTTGAACTCAGGGGTTACGTGGCTGGACTCAGCCTGAGGTCTCACCTGACGCTTGAATATTCGATGTAGTAAGCCTTTCTTTGGCGGTTCAGGAGGGTAGCTCCGATTCAGGTCGGGTGAAAGAGTACCGTTGGGTCCAAACACATTCAACTCCTTGAAACATTCAGTTTCTATCATCTGGGGAAATGGAGGCAAAACCAGACATGCATTAGAGAAGCCACATCCTGTTACTTTTCGCAGGAAGTAGAAAGTCAAAGCAGACAAACAAGCAAGGCCCCTGGCATCTGGAAGAACAAACTGTCTTCTGCAGCCTAGAAGCTGCATTTGTTCTCTTTTTAACTGAGAGGTGAGCAGCTGCACCAGAGTTCTCAGCCTTAGTTTTTAAGAAATGCTCTTGGCAGAACTGAGGCAGCAGCAGCTGGGAGTGAGGTTTCTGTTAGTGGGAGGATGAGAAGCGGCCTCGAGGTATCTTCCCAATCTTGCTTTGTGCTGAGATGGCCAAACGCTGCTCAAGAAAGATGGGGAAGACAGGAAACTATGACTGATGTCAGTTCCCAAAGAGTATTTTTAAAGGAAATTAAAGTAGAAAATTATTATGGCAAAGCCACGGGCACCTTATTATGTCAGAAAAATTCTACCTGGAGGAAGCTCAGTAAAGTAGAAAGAGAGCTGAGTCTTGAGTCAGAGGACCTGGGTTCAAATCTTGATTCTTCCATTTGCTATCTGTGTAATGTTGGATATAGAATTTGGGTTCTCTGGGCCTCAGTTTACTCATCTGTACTAACTGGCCTCCAACATCTTTTATAGCCTAAAGTCTATGATTCTTGATGGCCTGTTTATGGACGTTGCAGATAACTACTCAATATTTATTAGCCTAAACATTTTTTAAAAGTTAGTTGGGTCTTTCTCTAATGAGGCGGTACTACTAAAAATAATATCATTGAAAATAACATTTTAGTTCTACTAAAAATAACACACACTGACATTAATATAATAGCCTTACCAAGTACTTTCACGCAATAACAACAACAACTAATACGTGCTTTAATATTTGCCAAGTGCCTCACAGGAATCACCCCACTTGAGACTTAGGGCAGCCCTGTGAGGGTGACATTACAGGTCTATTATCCTCATTTTATCGAGAAGGAAACAGGCTCAGGGACATTAAATGAGTGGCTTATGTTGAGTTTCAGCTAATAATGGTTAGAGCTGAGGTTTGAACCTAGGTATTCCTGTCTTGAAGCCCAGCACTTTCTCCACTAATCTCATCTGGCGTTCACAAGATAGGTGGTGAGATAAAATGAGATATCGGAAAAGCTCTTTTGCAAACTTGAAGAAAGTGCTATATAAATGCTAGGTATTATTATTGCAGACATGCTGGGCTGACTCATGTTGTGGGAGCATGATTGCTATTAATAGTAGCTTATCTAAAGATACAAAGCTTTTCTTTCACAGATTGAGAGCCTCACATTACCCCATGCTCTTCATGAAGTTTTAAGATATTGCCAATTAAGGCTTTTAAAGCCACGTTCCATTTTTACAAATGTCAGGGATAAATTGTGTGAAGTCATTTTTAGTAGTGCCCCAACTCTTCATGACCTCGTTTGTAGTCTTCTTGGCAAAGATACTGGAGTGGTTTACAATTCCCTTCTCTAGCTCATTTTACAGATGAGGAAACTGAGGCAAAAAGGGTTAAGTGACTTGCCCAGGGGTCACACAGCTAGTAATTGGCTGAGGCTGGATTTGAACTCATGAGGATGAGTCTTTCTGACTCCAGGCCTGGCACTCTATCCACTGTACCACATAGTTTTCCAGGGATAAATTATTTCGCTATTATTATTATTTGGGAATGGAAGGTAAGGGAAAGTCTGAGAACAGTTAGGAAAGCACCACCCATTTGGACCCATAGGACTTGGGTTCAAATCTCAGCTCTTTCACTTACTATATGGGTAAATCTATTGATGTCTCTGGGCCTCAGCTCATCTGTAAAAGAGGGGGTTGAATTTGATGCCTCTGAAATCTCTTCTATCTCTAAATTTATGACCCTAGGAACACTTCTGCCTGAAAACCTCCAATCTTCCCACAGGGATGAAGGGTGAGTAGGAGCTAAGTGTCCATGAGCAAGTAGCCATGTTTCAGGTGGAAACTAAAATGGAAATTCACCTTCTTTTTATAGAGCTGGTTAACACTTGTGACAGAATCTAGACCTTATGGTTAAAGGTGAGGATCAAGTAAGTCATTAGAGATTGAACACATCCTGTTCTAGTCCCAGTGGAATGTTTTGCCTGCTTTGAGGTACACTATGGCACCATCTTTGCTCTGGAGATGCCGGAAGCTATGGGAGTGGAAGGTGTGGTGTGGACTCATTCATAATTATCAGCTTATGAGGGGCAGGGGAAGAATGGACATGTAGCCCATGCTTTCAGAATACCCTAGACTCATAGTGGAAGGGGTTGTGACTCAGGCTAGTCTGTTCAACTCAACAGATATCCTGACACCATTAGGTGGTTAGAAATTGTCCTTCCCTCTCAAGTCAAATACCACATGGCATTCTCAGTGAAGTTAGATTGAGATGCTCTGGTTACAATGCAGGGGGATTCTGCACGGTCCTATTCCACCCCGTTATGCTGTAACCTAGCTACACTGCCTAGAGAGATACCTGTGAAGGAGAGTAGAGATAGCATGGTATATTGCAAAGAACCCCCCAAAAGAACTCATCAGACCCAGGTTCAAGTCTGTGATTTGCCATTTACTAACTATGTGACCTGGAGCAAATTATAGGACCACAGATTTGTAGCTGGAAAGAACCTTTGTTGTTATCAAATCTAACTTCCTTATTTTACAAGTGAGGATTTAGAGACCAGAGAAGGTGACTTGCTTAAGGTCATACAATCAGGCAATAAATGTTTATTAAGCGCTTACTATGTGTTGGGGCAGCTAGGTGGCAGTAGATAGAATGCCCAGCCTGGAGTCAGTAAGACTTATCTTCCTGAGTTCAAACTGACCTCAGACACTTACTAGCTGTGTGACCCTGGGCAAGTCACTTAACTCTGTTTGCTCAGTTTTTTCATCTGTACAATGAGCTGGAGGAGGAGATGGCAAACCCCTCCAGTATCTTTGCCAACAAAATCCCAAATGAGGTCACAAAGAGTCAGACATGACTGAACAATAACAAAATTCAGTGTGTTAGACACTATTAAGCACTGAAGAGATAATAATGAAATGGCACACCTAACATTCGAACTCAAGTCCTTTGACTTCACCTCCCACTACACTACACTGTTACTTAACCGCTCTATTTTCTTACCCTTATAATGGGGGGGAAATACTTGCACTACTTATCTTGCAGGGTTGTTGCAAGGAAAAAGCTTTGTAAACTATCAAAATGTGAATTATTATTTTAGGTTCTACTTTTCTCATACTCTCAAAATCACTTACCAGTCTAGTGGATCCCTCTATCCACACTACTGATTCCCAACTGAGGATAATATGCATCTATGATATAGGTGTCTCAAGCTTTCTTCCACCCTCCTATTTCTAAAAGTTTACAAATCATCTAATTTCATAATCTTAATTGAGCCTTAAACAAAAACAAAAAATCAATGAGATAAAAACTATAGGCGTTATCTCCGTTTTACAGTTGAGGAAACAGACTTTCAGAGGTTTGATGACTTGCCCCCAGTCACACAGCTAGTACATGTAAGAAGTGAGATTTGAACCCAGTCCCAATTCTAACAGCCCTTTTAGAGTCAGAGGGGTATCCAGGTGTAAGCCCAACAGGCCAAGGGTAGATTTGTCCTCAGTGCAATGTAGAACACAGGGTAAATTACTCTGTAGACTTTATGCACTGCTCCCAGCCTACCCCCAAACCATTTATATTCAAGAGAAGCCAGGTCAAAATGCAAGTCAACAATAGTCTAGATTTATTGAGGTCATATGTGGCTTCTAGGTCCTCGGGTGCAGCCTTTTGACTGAGCCCAAGTTTTACCGAACAAATCCTTTAATTAAGGGGATTTGTTCCATGCAGTTTATATTCAGGTGGTCTTGAGGCTGCAGGTTCCCCACTCCTGGTAGAAGGAAAAAAGAAATCACCTAAAGGAAGCTTGGTTGGGGAGGGGTCTATGATTTGGCTCTGTGTATGTGTATGTGTGTGTGTGTGTTTTATGGGTTGCTTATAGGAATTTGTGTTTTTTTAAAAGACCCATCATTTCAGCTCTATCCCAGTCTGCCCAGCAGTAAAACTTTGCATGACAATTCCTAGAGGATAGGGCTCAGGACAATTGCCACCAATTTGCTGTACTGTAATGAAGGGTTGGACTATAAGGGTGGAGACTTGCACTTTTTATGACCAACTACAGGGGAGAAGAGTAGGTTCTATTTCTTCTTGGCCCCTTTCCCCTTCTTGATTTGACTTTGACACAGTACCCCCAACCTCTGGAAGCCTGACCCCTAGTAGCTTTGTCCAGCAGTTGAAGCTCATGGCAATTTGTCCAGCCTTCTGGCTAGCGATTACTGTCCCCTGCTCCCCTGCCTCTGTAAAACACGAGGAACACGCACAATCCTTTTTTTCCTCTCCCCTCCTCCCAAATGGACCGGACTGACAAAGGCTGTGCTCTAGTCCCCACGCTCACCTCATTTTGCCATGGAATCGATACGGATCCTGTGGAGAACTTGGAATAGAAATCGTCGTCTGTGTGGTCCAGGTTGACGCCTTTCACTGTGGAGAACTGCTCAATGTCCAATACGTCCTTACAGTACACGGCCCGGGGCTATGGCCCAGGGAGAAACAGAAGGGCCGGGGTTAGTGTCTGATCCCCGCTGGCTTGGCCCAGGCTGGGTGCATGCCCCAGGAAGGAGCTGCTGTAGGCTAGCCCACTCCATCTTTGACATGCACTCAGAACGACAAAATCACAGACTGTTAGGACTACGGAAAGACCCTGAGAAGTCATTTAGTCTGGCCCATCACTCAGAGCTGGAAGCCTAGTTTCCCTCCTCAGAAATTTCCTAGCGCTAGGCTCTGCAGCAAGCTCACAGACAGGATCTTTGAGGCCTTCTCACCCAACTGCCTCATTTTACAGATGAAGAAACTGAGTCAGCAAGCCTAAAGGCCAGATATAAACAGAGGGCTCTGACTCCGGAACCAGTGCTCTCCCCCAGCTCCCAGAACCCCCTGCTTCTAGTTGTTGGATTCTACTGTTATTTGCGCATGTCTTGTTTCCTGTATTAGATTGTAGAGCAGACAGAAGACTGAGGCCCAGAAACGGTATGTGCTCAGCACAGGTCGTTGGTGGTGGAGTGGAGACTAGAACCCAAGCTTCCTGACTTCTGCTATGCTGCTCTTCCGACGCTGTGCAAACATTTATTGCTGGAATGATCTTTGAGAGGAGCGTAGACACCCTCAATGTGTTGGAGAAGCTGATGTTCTACCAACCTCAGTCTAAAAGTGACTCCAGGGAAGCAGTCAGGGAAGGGGGAGTTACTCACGTCTGGTACAAAGGGAGGGTCCAACATCCCTGCTTCTAGTCGCTTGAAATCCATGTTCCTGAAAAACGGGTGTCTCTTCACTTCCATAGCGCCCTCCTCTCGACAGCCCAGCCTCTGTTTCGCATCTTTGGCTAGTAGCTATAATCAATAAGGGGAGGGCAGTGAAACATTCTGGGCCATTCCCTGCAGGAAGGCAGGCACAGGCAGAGGACTTAGGCTTACGGAGCCTCAAAAGAAATCTCACCAGCTCGCCATTTACTAAGAACTCCCCACACAGCCACAGGAGGGTGATTCTCCCCCCCCCCTTTTTTTTTTATAGATCAGGAAACTGAGACATTGAGAGAGAAAGTGATTTGGCCATAGTTACACCACTAGCAAAAGGACAAAAGCAGGACCTCGAACACAGATCCTGTGGAAAGATCTGCTGCTTCTAGAAAACATACCCCTTTTTTCGTTCAGTCATTTTTTAGTTTTGTCTGACTCTTTGTGACCCCAGGTGGGGTTTTGTTGGCAAAGATACTAGAAGAGTTTGCCATTTCCTTCTCCAGCTCATTTTACAGATGAGGAAACTGAGGCAAACAACGTTAAGTAATTTGCCCAGGGTCACACAGTTAGTAAGTGCCTGAGGCTGGATTTGAATTTAGGAAGCTAAGTCTTTCTGACTTGAGGCCTGACACTCTATATACTATGCAACCTGGCTGCTCTGAAAACAACCCCCCCCCAAACTACCACAAAACAACAGCAAAAGAAATAATCCCAGAGCTGCCTCCTCTGCAGTTCTAGAGCATTAACAGTTTATCACATTTATTTAACACTTAGACTAGTTTCTGGTATTGTTTGGAGACAGCCAAATGGCTCAGTTGATAGAGTGTTCTATGGGGCCTGGAGTCAGGAAGATCTGAATTAAAATCTGGCCTCAGACAGGCACTGTGTGACCCTGGGCAAGTCACTTAATCTCTGTTTGCCTTAATCCACTGGAGAAGGAAATAGCAAACCACACCAGCATCTTTCCTAAGAAAACCTATACAGGGTCATGAAGAGTCAGACATGACTAAATGACTGAACTACAACAGCAATGTACATAGCCTGGGTTCCCTAGCTGAGGTTTCTGAAGATAAGGGAGACAAGTCTTAGGTATCCATTCACCAACATTTATTAAGCACCTATGGTGTACAATACATTGGGCTATCTTTGAATCCTCCATAATACCTGTCATAATAATAATTTTATTCTCTCTCTTTCTCCGCCCCCCTCCTCACTTTAGAGTTTAGAAATCATGTTTCCTTTTTTTTTAATCAACTCTGAGAGATGTTTATCATCATCATCCTCATCATCATTATTATCGCTATTTCTGTTTTATAGATGAGGTCGCTGAATTTCAGCCAGGTGAAACAAATTACCCAAAGTCATACAGCTCGCAAGGATCAGAGCTGAGATTCTACCCCAGGTCTCCTGAGTCCCAAACCAATGCTCTTTTACACTAGACTGCCTTTAGCAGATGTTTGACAAGGATTTACTGATAGATTATTTATAAAGGTATAACCATGTGAATCTGGGTTTCATGCTCATCTTTTCTTTCACCAGTTTTCCTTCTGGGACATTTTTGGAGCACTGAGTTACCCTAGAAGTTAGAGATATATTTTTCTTCTCTCTAACCCAACCACATCAGCTTTTTTGGTTTCAGACTCACTTCACAACTTGCCAATATGTTTTAAAAGTAAGGATGTTGTGCTGCAGAACAGGTGACAGAGAATTGCTAGAATTGGAATTTAAATCATTTTCACCACATTCGTGGGAGAGGATATATGTATGCCTATGGAGGCAGAGGCTGGGCAGAAGGCTTTATTCCAGTCTCTAAATATGAGTAGGAAACACCAGCCTTTCCAGCAGGCTGGGTTCTCTGGTCCCTAATGGCAACACTGTGGGAAATGGATGTTAATCTAATTGGACAGTTAGAAACATGAGTAGCTTTCAATGGGGAGAAGGTCATTGCAACCAAAGCCTACTGGGATTCTTCTTCATTGGAAGGATAAATGTCTGAGAGAGACTGGTTTACCTGCACATTTCAATTTACATTTGCCTTCTGATTAATCCAGAGGTGACTTTTTTTTTGAAAGGTTACCTAGAAAGATAGTATGGTCTAGCAGAAAGAATTAGTAGAAACTTGGGTTACTACTTCCTATCTGTGGGACCATGAGCAAATCACTTAACCTCTCTGAGCTCCACTTTCAATATCGTGAAATGAGGATAATACTCGACCACTTCCTGGGGATGTTGTAAAGAATTCACTTTGCAAATCTTTAAGCATAATATTGTGTGAGTTATTATTGGGTTAACCTTTTAAAAATATTATCTCTTCATATTAAAACCAACACAATATTGACAATACTATTTAATCAGAATTTCCCCGTAAGTTAACACATCAATGTGAAAGAGAATATTCTAGACAGAGAGAACCATATTAATGAAGGTGGCCAGGCTTTGGCAATTATGCCAATTATGTTGGAGCAAAGAGAACATGAGGAAGAAAAGAATGAGAGGAAATTAGCAAAGTAGGTTGTAGTCAGATTGTAGAGGACCTTGGATACCAGGATAAGAAATCCAATCTTAATTCTATAGGCAATGAGGAGGCAATGAAGGGCTTTGTGCAAGAGAGAACCATGATCAGAGGATCATTGGACATTAGAAAGGTTGATCTGGCAGTAGTATAGAAGATGGAATGGGAACTGATGCTGAGTGAAGTGAGCAGAACCAGAACATTGTACACAGTAACAGCAACATTATGTGATGACCAACTCTGATAGACTTAGCTCTTTTCAGCAATGCAAAGATCTAAGATAATGTCAAGGGATTCACTGTGGAAAATGCTATCCACATCCAGAGAAAGAACTATGGAGTTGGAATGCAGATTGAAGAATACTAACTTTATCTCTTTTTTTCCTTTCTTGTGGTTTTTCCCTTTTGTTCCGATTCTTCTTTCACAACATGACTAATGTAGAAATAGGTTTAATATGATTGTACATGCGTAGCCTATATCAGATTGCTTGCCTTCTTGGGGAGGGGAGGGGAAGAAAGGAGGGATAAAAAATTTGGATCTCAAAATCTTATAAAAGTGAATGTTGGAAAAATAAATAAAAGAAAATTGAAAAAAGAGGATGGATTGGGAAGGGAAGAGACTGTAAGTAAGGAATCTGGTTAGGAGGCTACTAAAAATTTCCATGTGAGAGTTAATGGGAGTTTATACTAGATTGGTGGCAATAATAATGGAAAGGAGGAGATTATTGATCAAGAGATGGCTTAGCTAGGATTTGGCAACTAACTGGACGAAGGCAGGTGATAGGAGCAAAAGGTAGGAGGAAGTCTTTTTTCAATTCAATAAATACAGCAAACACTTTTTAAGTAACCGCAATACACAAAGCACTGGGCTAATACATTGGGAGAGATGCTAAGTTTAGCTAAAAACATTGTAGCTTATAATGACTAGGAGACAGTCTGGGAGAGATTAGTTTACCTGCAGATTTCAGTTTATGTTTGCCTTCTGAGTAATCTCGAGGTGACTTTTTGGGGGAGAGGGGAGGACATAAAGAGAGTGAGTGTTTCATTCAGGTGGGGATGTCCTGTGGAGAGTTTGAGACTGAAACTCAGGAAAGAGGCCAGGGCCATAGACAGAGACATGGGAAGCATTCACGATGATGTGATGATTAAGATTGTATGAATGGCGGAGATTTCAATATAGAGAAACGAAAATGGCTGAGGTCGGGAACTTGGGGAACACGTAGCCTAACTTAGGGATGAGAAGGGTCTAGGAATCAGTGAAAAAGGCAGAGAAGGCCTGGAAAAGTGGGACAACTAGAGAAGTGCGCTCTTCAGGGGTGTGCTGGAGCTGGCCGTAACAAACCCATTGTTAAATTTTCAGTGTGAGCATTTACTCCCCAGAAATTGGCAAACCACAAGTCAGAGTTTGATTTATTGTTTTACTGATAGTCTAGACATAATAAAGTGACAGAGAAAACGTTATTAATGCAGATCAAACTTAAAGATGTGGCCTGTGTGCAGGCTGTAAACATTTGCCAGCGAGTAGAGAGTATGAAGGAGGAGGAAGAGGAAGGGCTGCTGAGTCTACAGGGCCAAAGGCTGCAGAATTCAAGAAGGCTGCTGAAAGAAAATGCTGTGGGCTAGAGTGATTTTCAGAGAGCAATGGGTTGAGGTGAGTATAGGTGCTCAGGAAGTGGGGGCCCAGACTTCAAAGAACTTTTGCCGGAAGTTTGGCTGTGAAGGGGAGAAGAAAGAGAGGACTGCAGCTGAATTCAATTCAACAAACATTCATTCAGAACCCACTATGTGCAAGGCACTCTATGGAGATATAAAGACAAAACTGAAACGTTCTCTATTCTCATGTTCTAGAGGGGCTACAACAGGCATGTTGGCAAGAAAACATATGGACAATTTGAGGAGAAAAGGAGCACCTGGAAAACAGAAAATGAAAGGGGGGGTGTAAGAAGAGAGGGCAAAGCTTAGTGAAGGAGGTGGTCTCTGAGCTGAACCTGGAAGGAATTTAAGGGTTCTGAGGATGTAGCATGGGGGAAAGTCTCTGTGAAGAGGTTGGAAGTGAGATATGGAATGTTAAGTTCAGAGAACAACTAAGAAAAGTCCTTTTTGGCTGGAACTCAAAGGACATGAAAGAGGGCAATATGAACTGACTGAAAAGATAAGTTGAAACCAGACTGTGAAGGGCTTTAAACAGGATAATTACATGCATGGAGAAGAAGGAGAAAAGAGTTCAATTTTTTTAAGGCCTGAAGAGTCATGAAAATGTTGGTAGATGGGGGCAGCTAAGTGGTGCAGTGGATAGAGCACTGGCCTTGAAGTCAGGAGGACCTGAGTTCAAATTTGGCCTCAGACCAAACACTTGACACTTACTAGCTGTGTGACCCTGGGCAAGTCACTTAACCCCAATTGCCTTAAAAAAAAAAGAAAATGTTGGTACATGGAGGGAAAGGATTGAGCAGAGAAAGAAAGGATGAAGGTGAATGGATTGAGATGACTCCTGGAGCAAGGACTTGGAGGAGGTAGAAAGAAATGGGCACAAGTAGAAAGATTAGCCTCACTCTGCAGTAGGGAGACCTTTTCATTTGAGA